GCTCATCTCCCGCTTAAACAGGGACAGGCCATTGGCGCAGGAATTGCAGGTCAGCCTGCACAGAAAACATTGGCTGGGCTTGACCTTGTAATACTGGCTCTAGTCTAAGGGATCTCACGCGAGTTTAAAAATACCTTAGGGTTAAAACTACTTCTTGCCATTGGTTAATAATAAAGACTACAGAATACCTCAGCCAGGCGTGTTTGACTGGTTCATGATCTCTTCCTGCCTTCCTGCGGCAAACCTGTCAGGAACAAAGACAAGAACCAATCTGACTCTAAGGTGAGGGAGAAATGGTTCCAAAACGAAGCGAAAGCCGGTCGGTGGAACAATCTCTGAGAGCAGTACAGCGAGGGAGAATATAAAAATCTCCATTTGGAAAGATGTACGGGTAGATGGTGTGGGGCAGTTTATGCCTAGGGCCTAGCATATGCACGGCGAACGCTGCTACAAGGCTGTAGCCTCTATTGTGTATAGCTGAAAAATCAAAACAAGTTGCACAAGTTTGTTGGGATCCCAACCCAGTCCTGCTTCTTTTGGGTTCTGGTTTTGCTTCTGATTCTGGCTTGGCAGCTGCTGATGACCTTTTGAAAGCAGCCTCAATCGACCCTGCTTGGGCCACTGGCATTGCATCACTCAACGGCTTTGACAATGCTGAAGAAGGTGGTTCACGTGAGTCAAGGGCTGCGGAGCAAAGGGAACCAATTTCATGTCAGAGGCGAGCGGACAGCAAGAAAGATCTGAAATGTTGTTGATGTAATCGTGTTGCTTGGTATGATATTGCACCCATGAACCTAAGTCGGCACCTATGAACGACCGCAAAGCAGCGGTTGCAGCTCGAAGGATGGCAAGGGCGGTGGAGCATAGTGCTCTCCGGATTGAGCGACTGGACCGCCTACGATGAAAGTAGCTGTGGAGATAGGTTGGCTTTCTCACGCTTTTTTTGAATGCTTGGCTGATTCAGATTGGAGTGTGGCTTCGGATCATTCCCCTGCTTTCTTCTGATCTCCCTTGAGCTTGATATGGTTGAGCCCCTTTCATCCAAAGCAGGCTTCTGAGATTCATGAGTCTTCTCACTGCTCATTCTTTCAGCGTGAGTTTCCAAATCTTTCTTTGCCGTCTCAGCATCTCTCTGCAACGCAGCCTGTGAAGCACCCGAAGCTTGAACTTGCGAATCCTGTTGGGCCAAGCCGTTCCTCTGCAAGCCCCATCATGCAAACGAGCGTTCAAGCTGGCAATGGTTGAACCTCGCTGTTCCAGATGGCTTTTCAACTCCGCGATTTTTTGATATTCTGGGTCGTTTGCTTCAGATCAGTGACCTGACTATATGCCTGGTCTTTGTCAGCAGCTGAAGCCGTTCTCGCAAATCGCTGATCTCTTGTGTCTGCCCAGTTGCAGAGAAAGCTTCGTGCAGAGAAAGCTTCCTGCTCCGTCACTGTCAGTGAGGCCAGACAACAGAATAATTCCTGGTCAAACATAAATATAACTATGAGAGACGTTTTGACCATTTTTGCTGAGTGAGTCTGAGGATCATTAAATATAGCTCCGCCACCTGACTGAGAAGAAGAATGTATAATTTGAGGTTGTTTTGCGATAAACTATATTGATAGAATGTGTGTAATCATTGTCAAGTTCTTGATGAAAGTGGTAGGAATTGAGAAGCTAGACGAATGAGGTGTAGAGTGATTTCGACAGGAGGCATGCGTGGATGAAAGAGACAGGGGCGCAAAAGCATGGTTGGAGTTGGAAGGGCAAAGTTCCCCAATGGTAGTGCAACTGTGATGCCCGATGCCCGGCCTTCTTGCAATGACTCCATCAACGAGGTCACGCGCAGCAAGCTCAGCCTTGGTGATGATGATGATGATGATGATGATGAAAGTAGACGATGACGGACGACCACAGCGCTAACGCCCAAAGCAGCAGTCAGCGCGGGTACACCGCCAAACACAGCACCAGAACTCCTTAGATACCCGCCCCGCCCCCCAGCCCCCGGGGTGGCACCGCCATAGCGGTGATCGAGCATCTCCTTACGTACCCGCCCAAGGCGGGACAAAGTGTCAGACTGACCACCGACAGGCGGCCAGCCCAACGCGGCCTCAGTAAGGTCCAAAGGTTCGGTTTGGTTGGGGTTGGTCACATGACAATCCCAGAAGAGATGCTTCCGATCTCCTTGAATGAAATTGCAAGAAGGGCAGCGACCAGTGACCGCTTGGTGGGTTTTCCGACCGAGAAGTCGTGTGAAACCTCATAGGGCTAATGAAGCCACCGCACAAAACATTCACTTCGTGAGCATTGCCTCGGTGCGCCGCAACAGCCGCTGCTTTAACACGGCCAGAATCATAAGGAATATTCTGCAACGCCGTAGAGTCTTTTCGATTCTGTTGCAAGAAGGAGTTCCACATGGAAAATCGCCAGCTCTTGCGGAGGAGATGTCCGAAGTGGTCCTTGCTGTCTGGAAATTCTGGATTTCGTGGTGCAAGAGAAAAACGTAGGTTGAGCGGAGCGTGGGTCCACGGCCAGGGCCTGGGGCTCGACCAGCCCAAGGAGCCCAAGAACTTGCGAACGCGTTGAACGAAACCTCCCGGAAGGCCACAATCTGTTGCAACTTTGTTTTCAAGTCGGTGACGAGAGCCGCCAAGTAGCCGGACATGAACAGTGAACTTGTCGTGTGGCCCAAAAGTAAGTGGGTCAGAGGCACCGAAGCGGACCTGTGACCGAAGCCAGCTGCTCGAAGTCGACTGTCAAGTTGCGTACAACTGCGCAGTAGAGGAGCTCGAAGTGCCCAGCCGTACGTAGCCTTTGTAGTCACAGCGGAGGCAGCGAGGAGCAGGCGTTCTTTGGCCAAGACAGGAGCAACTTTGTCTTTTGCGGGAGTCTTCAAAGCGTTGGAAAACCGGTCGCTATCTTTCTGAGTAGGTTTGGACCCCAGAGTGGTAAAAGAAACGCCTAACGCCACCAGGGAGTCTTTCGCCCACGGAGCCGTCTCAGGGTCACTGTGGATCTGAAGCTGGCCGTCTTGTGTGCGTGAGAAAACCTGAGTCTTGGCCAGATTTTCTTTGAGACCAAGGCATGCAGAGTGATTCTTCGAAATTTCTCAAATGCTCTTACCGATGTCCAGGGACTCAGCAGAAAAGGTTCGATTATCCATGAAGACTGAGGGTACACCAGTAGGATGCAGACGGCGGATGACCGCTGAGGCGTTCGCAGCACCACGTTCACAGCCCAAGAACTCAGCGGATCGCCCTGCGGAACGCTGCTTGCCACAAGGCAAGAAGTCGGAAGACTTTCGCCTTGCCATTGCAACACGCGGCGCTGAGAGCTCCAAATCCTTTGGAAGGCGTTGGCAAGATGAGGGGGGAACCCGAACTGTTTCAAACTCCTCAGAGCCACTCCAGGCCTCAACCTGTCAAACGCTTGAGAGAGATCCAATGACCAAATGAAATGACCCTTGGCTTGAGCAGAAGCGAGGGGAACCACAGCTTGGAGACAGTCATGTTTCTGACGGCAAGTGTGGTGACCACCCGAACAAGACCGCAATGTCGCGCCGCATGCAAGTAGGGAACAGGGCCACTTCGGTCCCAGTCCATCCGTCCGTTCCGCCTGATTTATGCTTCTGGCGACGAGCGCTCTTGATGATACTGTCAACGTCAACCGGTGCCCAGCACTGATGGGTTCTCGCAGGGACATCCCAAAGTTGAAAATAATCTTCGGGCAGCATTTCATTTTGACTGCGTGCTCGGTTCCAAATGGTGGACCAAAAGGACTTGATTTTTTCGAGGGCGTCTTGAGTGGAAGCCGCAGCCGGTTCCCTTGACCCTAACTCGCCTTCATCGTTGAAAATCATATGCTATAGGGGGGGACTTCACTCATTTGAGCCAGGCAAACACTTCCCTTTGGGGTCCACGAAGTCTGTTTTCCCAATGGCGGATCCTGGACACCCGCTGGTGCGTTTCTAAGTCGGAGATTTGCTGCTTGACTTCAGCAATGGTCAACTGAGGGGTCCACGAGGGACAACGCTGAAGTTTGAGCCAGAGTTCGCTCGGAATGACCTGCTGGCGGATGCGTCGGAAAGCAAGTTCCTGCATTCTGCCTAACAATTTGTACAAAACTCGAAGTCTATTTGGAGCACCGTTGTCGTAGGGCTTTCGAACCGCTTGATTGATCTGTGGAAAGACCGCTGAGGTGCCCTTGCCTCGCTTAGCTCGACGCGTGGTGCGCATCGGCACTGTGGAGAGACGAGCAGCTCAGCCTTGTACTTTCTCTCAACGATTGTAGATGTTGCTGTCGCTTGGCACAGCACGCTGGATACCATGAAGCGCAAGAGAAATGGCTGGGTTCCATGAGCCGTCTTCAAAAGAGGTTTGTCACTCTCAACAATGTATGGGTCGCACTTTGCCCCTTGGCGTTGGCCATCTTCAGCATGGTTGCCTGAAGAAGTTGGTGCATGAATCCCTAAAAAACAAGTGCAGAGTGTAAGTGTATCCTGGAACGACTTATCTGTGCTTGACATGATGTTGTCTATTCTCCGGGGCTGCTGAATGTCAGTGAAATCTGGCTGTTTTGAAATTTGAGCGCTAATTAGTTTCCAAAATGGAGCTTGACATGAAACACAAAGCAAAGCGGTGTACAATCAACAGCGCAAGATTATGTTTTTTGGATACAAAGCTTCCTTGAACGGCTTCAAATCTATAAAGATGACCTTCTGTTCGTTGAAGTTGGCAGGGATGAAGGCTGATATCTCTGGGCATTGGCCAGTAGCAGGCCAAATGAATCTCCAATTGATCCCACTAAAAGCGGCCATGGAGCGCGCGCGCGCAAAAGAACTGGCGTTTGAAAGGTCCACACATGTCGCGTATGGCTGGCGTAGTCGGTAGTGGGGGATGCCCAGGTGGAAGCCACTAGATATCATACACTCCTGAAATACTGAAACAACTATAGCGCCTCAATGGCTGATGACATTGAGCAGGCCCACTAGGCTTGGTCAATGAACGCCGAGCGTCTGAGTTATAAATATTCGAAGTGGCGCAGCAAATCACTGCACCATCAGCTTGTGCATCTCGTACTCTTCGCAACCAGTGACAGCACCAACCTTCGGACGCTGTGCGCTGGAAATCAAACATCTCAGCAACACACCCTCTGCGCTCAAACTCAAACGCCAATCTTCGATTTGATCTCGGGTTTCCTCACTCACAACCTGAAAGTCTGCAGCGTATTCTTGGCCCAAGTGACAGTTGTATTTGCTTCCAGTTGCAGGCCAGAAGTCACCTTTCTGACTTTGAACATGGCAGGACCACATTCCGATCCGCTCACTCTCAGGCGGGACAGCCACTTGGTCACGGCCACACTCGTGTGGCGGATGCATCCACTTGCTCTCATCTGCATAGGCTCCGAAGACGTGCTCATCTCCAAACCAAACCGTTGCAATGCCTGACGGGACTGGTGGTCCCAAGAAACCTAGTGTCACCCCATTGCCGGCTCTAGAGCAAAACTGACGGGTGGACAATACAAAGCACGGGTCTCCTTTCAACAAACGTAAGTAATACAAATCGATCGATGTATCCAAGAAGCAGAAAATTAAAGGACCGGGTAACCCCGCATATGAATCTTTACGAATCTTAAGTTTCTAAAGCACAAAGCAGTCAGAGTCTCAATAGCTTCTACAAGATGGTCTTGTCAGGAATTATATCAGAATTACACAACAGAGGTATGGGAGAGTAATGTGCACGGCGGATGTACGAGGTATTGCGCAGACATGTGTGTACAGCCACAACTAGCCGAAGTAAAACCACATCGCGCTGCCGACGTGAAACTCTATAGCCAAGCTCTTTTTCATCGCGCAGACGAAAGCAGGTCATGTGCGTGAACCTGGGCGTCGTCATGAGTATTACATGCAAAAGACGTCGTAACCGTCTGTAAAAGTGAAGACCAAAGATTTTGTTTGTCACTGTCAGCACATCATTTGCGCCTTGGAATCTATGTTCACAAAGTGCTGCGACTGCCACGAAATCTGCGCATGGAGCTTCACAAAGTGCTGCGCCTGCCACGAAATCTGCACATGGAGGGTCACAAAGTGCTGTGCCTGCCACGAAATCTGCACATGGAGGGTCACAAAGTGCTGTGCCTGCCACGAAATCTGCACATGGAGAGTCACAAAGTGCTGTGCCTGCCACAAAATCTACACATGGAGGTTCACAAAGCGCTGTGCCTGCCACGAAATCTGCACATGGAGGTTCACAAAGTGCTGCGCGTGCCACGAATTCTGCGCGTCAAGAAACAAGTGAAAACTCTAATCACAATGGAGGGACGGACCGGCGACCACCGCAGACAACCGCAGACAACCGCCGACAACGCAACAGCCAGAGCCTCTAACGGAGCATGGAGGTTCACAAAGTGCTGCGCCTGCCACGAATTCTGCACACGGAGGTTCACAAAGTGCTGCACCTGCCACGAATTCTGCGCGTCAAGAAACAAGTGCGTACTCTAATCACAATGGAGGGACGGACCGGCGACCACCGCAGACAACCGCAGACAACCGCCGACAACGCAACAGCCAGAGCCTCTAACGGAGCATGGAGGTTCACAAAGTGCTGCGCGTGCCACATGGAGGTCCACAAAGCGCCGCTATTGAGACTCTTACTGCGTGATGTGTGGTCTCTGTACGTGTTGTCTCGGTGTGGAGGGAGGATGATCTCTGTGTGTGGTGTCTCGGTGCATGTGATCTCTGTGTGTGTGTGATGTGTGTTGTCTCGGTGTGTGTGATCTCTGTGTGTGTGATCTCTGTGTGTGTGTGTGTTGTCTCTGTATGTGTTGTCTCGGTGTGGAGGGAGGGGGCGGGAGGCGGCGGGATGCACCGGGAGGCGGATGAGACATAGAAAAGAAGAACCCCACACTAAGATGTGGGGAACAATGCTCAAAGAAATCTTGTTGACTCACTCCGTGCCTTGTGGACCTTCGTTCATCAACTTTTCCACCACTTGATCACGTGCGTCGCCGCCGGGGACAGATACATTGATGGCTTTGAAGTGCTTTCGCATCTTCATGAAGCATGTGGAGCTGTCATAGTAAGTGAAAACGAGGCCTGTCCCGGCCCCCTTTTCACAGCGCTCCACAAAGGCAGTGTCGTCACGGAAGTGCTCTAGACCAGGCAACTTCAAAAGCCAAGGTGCCTTGCTTTGCCGGACCAGCTCCTTCACATAGTTGGCATCCATTCGCAAATCCTCAGACGCTAATCTCAAGGCTTCGAATGGATCTTGCAGCACCGCTGCCAGGATCACATCTGGGTCATCGCGTAGCTCCAAAGAGGCCTGCTCCAGGAAGGAGACGCCCCGACCGATCTGAGCCAGGACGTAGTGTTTGTTGCTCCACGGGTCATCCTCAGCTGCGAATTCCGCTCTCCTCTTGGACGTTTCTGGTGGGCCAAGATGTCGTCACCCCTCCCTTCCGCCAAGTCACCTCGTTCACCTCAGCGCTTCTGACGGTGGGATGGGATTTTGACGCTGGGGTGGACATACTTGTGTGGCTTATTCCAAAACCTGAGCAGCTGATGTAGGTACCACATGGCAAGTCCCCCAAAAAGCGGCTTCCTTTTGAACAACGAAATGCACCTGTTCTGAGGGGTTGTGCTTCTCTGTGGGATCCATGAAGAATTGCTAGCCTCGTAGACCCACCGACAGTCCGAACCATCAAGACAGGTGACCATCAGCACTCTGAGGTGCAACTCCTGGCTGCGGTGACAATGGGCACTTTCCCCAGTACAAGGGCTGCTGCCGCTTGGGTTTGAAGAAACATGTCTGAAGCATTCTGAATCAGAACTGCTGAGGTGCAGCTGCAAACTCAAATGTTGGCTTGTGGTGCAACATTGACACCATGGCTTGCAGGAGATCTTGAAGCCCCCACACCAAACCGCTGGGAAAACATGCCAAAAGAGTGGCGGCACATCTAAGCAACATGGGCCAAACCCAAAGCTGCGTAAACAAATGACAGATGCACCTGATCCTTCACACACTCCTCCATCATTTTGCGGGCGCTGCCACGAACTCCATTCACCTCAGAAGGCGTCAACGTGGTCTGTGGAGCATTCACCAACTTTTGGAGTTCTTTTGTTTTGCAGCAAGGAGTCTTAGCTTGTGACAACTATGGGTGACAAATCCACAAAGAAGGACACCTAGTTGTCTAGTACTCAAATCCGAGCTCTTGTGCTCGATGTTGGAAGTGTCAATGCTTCCCTTGCCTAGGCAACTGATCGGCTCTATGAGTTCTGAGGCAAATCTAAGTAGGAGGTCCCACACCTCACCCTTCTTTTCCCACATAGGAACACCTGGTATTATTTGCCGGGGCATGCAGGGATTTCAACACAATTGAATAGTGAAATAAAGAGGGCATCCTTTTTGGAGGGCTGGCCAACTCCCAAACATAACGTTGAAGCCAGCCACAAGAAACAGGTGCCCTGGACTGGCCTCCATGATGAGATGATTCTTTTTCACCTCCAAATGCGGTGAACTTTCATTCCACTCCTCCCGGGCGTGACAAAAAAAAAGCGGTGGCTGGTGAACGCAAAGCATGCCAAACAAAGTTCACGCAAAAAAGATGTCGAACCATGTCAAGATCTATGCTCCAAAATTACTCTTGGCCAGCCCACACCTGCAAATGTTGGTGCCCAACAAACTATGTATCACTTGCCATGGCTTTCATTGGTATCCGAACTTCGTCAGGTCTTCTTTTTGATTAGCCTTTTTGGTTTTTGACGGCAAGTCCTCAACCAGGCCGCCGCTGTCGATGCCTTGGCTCACTACTGGGCGCTTGGCGAACTCTCGTTGGCCTCTTTCAGCCTAAAAGGGATGGTGCCTAAGGAAAAAGTGTAAAAGCGAAGAGTTCAGCCACCAGGGCTTTCTATGTATTTACTCCACATCGCCAAATTGAATGGAGAGATTCGAGGGATGGATCTCACCATGCAACTTAGGCTTTGCCAAGCTCACTTGGGCTTGTATTCTCTGCATGAAAGGTACGTTGAACAGCTCGACTCCTTTCAAGCTTCCTTAAAGACTGACCCCAGCAAGTGGTACAAGGCGATTTCAGAAGGCGTTGCAACAACATTTGACCACGCAAGGGTTGCATGAGGCTCAGTTGAGGCCAACAAAGAATACACAACTTGAATGATCGGCAAAGTTACCTTGGATGATTAGGGTCTTTCCGCCAGCCAGCATGTCGATTCCCATCCTCCAACGCTGCACAATCGATTGACAAAGGGGAATCCTTGCTCAGGAAAACTTGGGAATGCTAGGCGCCACATCTGGTCTGTACTGTTTCATGAATGGGCCAATTCCTACAGTCAGACTCAAACGGAAGAAGGTGTGTAGATTGTGGACTGGGCACATTTCTTGAGGACCTGACCTGAAGGGTTTATATTTCCAAGCAGCTGCTCGAATCTTCTCGAATTCCGCATGCATAGATGATTCCGGCGCTACCACCGAATGCAGTTTGAGAAGGTCGAGAACGCCTAGTTCTACTTCCTTCGATTCAATCCAGGTTCATTTGTTCAACCGTGTAGTGTTCCGTCCTGGTGATTCCAGATTCCATGGGCAAAGTGAAACGGTCTTGGTCTTTGATGCGTCTCACGCGCCTCGTGCCATTCGTCTGATCCAATAACACTTCATACTCGTCAGCTCGTGTGCCTGAAGAAACCGTTTAACCGGCCATGTCCATATCCTCAAACCAAGCCTCAGAGTTTGTTTGACAATCAATTGTCATGTATTTTTTGAAATCTTAGCCTCCAAATCAGCAGGAACCTGTCTACCGTTGAAGGCAAGGGGCCCCTACAGTATTACTTGAGGGGAACACTGTTTCGTTAGAACTTAGTCTCCCCACCATAGATTCACCGCTGGCAGTACTTGCTTGTGAGCTGGTCCAACCGAGCCCCCAGCTGGATGCAGGGTCTCCCCTTGAAGCTCGCCAGGCTTCAAACCTGTCGGCAGCAAAGTGAGAATCCCTTCACCAAATCCACCGCGCCCCGCAAACTTGGGGACAGGGTTAAAGGAGCAAGTGCGGTCCACATTGTGCCTTCAGACATGGCACAAACTTCACATAGCGCTTTATAGATTATTGTTACAACATGCACAACTTATGACCTAGACTGACACTCACTAGTGTCAAAGAAACTGGCAGAAAACATTAAAATAAGAGAGAGAGAGTACCAAGAGCTTCAGACCTTCAGAATGGAGCCCCGACAAAAACGAAGGACACTGCGCCCAAACATAGTTTCGATTTCAACGCACCACTGATAGTGCATGGACACGAAAGCCAGCACTTGTCTTTTGGCTCGCTGTGTTGCGGGGATCTGCCACCATCATGGCCGTATGTGCAACAAACCACATCAAAGTTGAGGGTATATGATTCAGTTACTCAGGGCACTCTCACAAAGGTGCACGCAGCAAGAGGGTGCCCATTTTTATTGGAAGTGTTTCCCAAAGGCTGGAAATTGACAAATGTTTTCGCAGTAGAAAAGTGTTTGTTGCCACCTGCTGGATCTTGTGGGAATGGGGACATTGTTTTGATGGAAAGGCTTGTGCTTAGCCTTTGGGCTCCACTTGACCAGTTCAGTTTGGACAAGGTCAATGGAAGGAGTCTTCACCAGGTTGATATTGTGCATTCATGTGGGCTGCTGCCAAAGGCAATTCCATAGTCACGAGTTACAATCTTCCCTTTGCTCTTGAGACATTATTTAAATGCAACTTGCTGTGTGCATAGCGGAGAAAAACTACATTTGCAGTGTGGAGAAACAGTTGTCCACTTGTTGTCATACAAATACCTTTTGAGGAGAGCACCCACACAATGGTTTCAAGCTGTTGTTGTTGTTGTTGTTGTTCCTATTGCACTTACGGAGTTTGGTTCATTGATGTCTGCAAGTTGACTTTGGTGAGTTTGCAGTGATGAAGTGACTGGGGTCCGGCCGCTGAACCAGCTGCTAGTGCGGTTCCAGGGTGCTCGAGCTAGCTTGACTGCGTTAAATGGCAACTTCGGTCTCTTTGCCTTCTGAAGATTTGCTGTCGAGCCGACAGGCCGACAGTTTGTCTTTTTGGTAAATCAACTCCACGGTCTACTGCCATTGTGAAGGAACGACTCAGTTGTGGTGGCAGTTCCAGTTACCCAAGATGTTGGTCCCCTAAGCCACAGCGGTCGGGCGAACAAAAACCGGATCCGTCTTGCATCAAGCCTTTTCGATCATCCAAACTAGAAACTTTCTTTGAAGGTCTTCTACAGCGCACGTGTTCGTACACTTCTCGATTTGCGCAGGCTCTCACAGCTGCGTAGCGCGTTTTCCACGCGCCAAGGTCTTCACGACCAGTCCATGTCGTCAGCGCACAGCTATGGCGCGCAAAGACGGTAGCCTAAGTGGCCCGTCAAAGGCCAAAGTTGAAGGGTCCCCTAAGCCGAAAGGGAACCGGTGGAATCACTCAACCTGACTTCACTGAACGGAAGCGAAGCAAATTTCATAGCTATGTCATAGCTTTAAATGTCCTTTCCACATGCCCCGTGTGTGAGCTCCCAATCAGATCCATCCAGGTGGCGTCACCTAGTCCTCGCTCCTCCTCTTCAGGAGTGTCCGCAGGCAGCTGCCGGGCCCGGAGCTTCCTCGCCGCAGCGAACTTTGGGAAGTAAGACCACGTTCCACCGTTGGCCTTCTTCCAAGAGCCTCGCGCGATCCTGAGCTCCAACTTTCGTCAGCCCGTCCGCGAGCTGCATGTCCGAGTCGCACCGTTCGCAATTCTGTGGCCTGGAGCTTCATGTTCTCGACCAGGGCGAGGATCTCGAGGGCCGTGTATTTCTCCTTGGAGGAGGAGAACGAAGGCATATCGCCTTGCTGGCGCGAGTCGTACAGTGCCTTGGCATCTGATGAGGACGCCCCTCGTCTTCTGGTTCACCTTCTCGCCCAGCATCTCCATCCACATGGTCCGACGAACGTGAGCTCTTGCTCGGCCTCTGCAAGGGCCTGCGTCTCGGCTGCCAAGCTGCTACGGCCTTTCAGTCCTTTGTCCACCTTATCCCTGTGGACCAGGCCAATCAGCATGCTGCCTGCGCTGCCGAGCTCAACTCTGTTGGCGAGGGCCGCATCTGACCATGCCACTGCCACCACGTCCTCCTTCTCGGGGTGTGCATCTTCAAGGTCACACTCGGACCATAGAGCTCGTGGGTGAACTTGCTGATCTCCTTCAGAACTTCTCGTTCACCCTTCGCCAGTATAGCGACTGCATTTGGCTGAGTTTTGCGGCGTGGTGAGGCGCTGTCTGGCAGACTCGCCATGGCGCTGATCCAGCGCAGCTCGACATTGTCGCCGCTCAGGTTCAGTGAGATCCTTGCCATGGCCATCATCCTGGACCTGGTTGAAGGGCTCGCAGAACTCCTTCTGGTCCAGGATCCATCCACCATCGCTCTTTTGGGCCAGGTGTACACCGCAATGATTCATGGGCGCACACTCCCACGAAGACCACTTCAGGCTCTCATGATGGCACCTTTGGAGGAACTCTGTCCACTTGGGGTGGCCCTCATTGCCCGTCGTCAAGAAGTCATCGACGTGGGCTCCAACCAATCCGATGGTGACATGCCTTTGCAGTCAAGGGGCTTGCGCTTAGCCTTTGGGCTCCACTTGACCAGTTCAGTTTGGACAAGGTCAATGGAAGGAGTCTTCACCAGGTTGATATTGTGCATTCATGTGGGCTGCTGCCAAAGGCAATTCCATAGTCACGAGTTACAATCTTCCCTTTGCTCTTGAGACATTATCTAAATGCAACTTGCTGTGTGCATGGCGGAGAAGAACTACATGTGCATGGCGGAGAAGAACTACATTTGCAGTGTGGAGAAACAGTTGTCCACTTGTTGTCATGCAAATACCTTTTGAGGAGAGCACCCACACAATGGTTTCAAGCTGTTGTTGTTGTTGTTGTTGCTGTTGCTGTTGTTCCTATTGCACTTAAGGAGTTTGGTTCATTGATGTTTGCAAGTTGACTTTGGTGAGTTTGCAGTGATGAAGTGACTGGGGTCCGGCCGCTGAACCAGCTGCTAGTGCGGTTCCAGGGTGCTCGAGCTAGCTTGATTGCGTTAAATGGCAACTTCGGTCTCTTTGCCTTCTGAAGATTTGCTGTCAAGCCAACAGGCCGACAGTTTGTCTATTTGGTAAATCAACTCCACGGTCTACTGCCATTGTGAAGGAACGACTCAGTTGTGGTGGCAGTTTCAGTTACCCAAGATGTTGGTCCCCTAAGCCACAGCGGTCGGGCGAACAAAAACCGGATCCGTCTTGCATCAAGCCTTTTCGATCATCCAAACTAGAAACTTTCTTTGAAGGTCTTCTACAGCGCACGACCAGCCCCCACCCCCCTACCCCCAATTTTGTTGGCAAATGAAAGCGAGGTTTGCGTGAATGAGACGAACCGTTACCGCAAAGCAAAACCATGTGCACGGCCAGGCAGGTATAACGCGAACATGCTTCCAAATTGCTAGAATGAACTTGTCGGTAGCTGTCCGGTCCTGCTAAACGAACGTGTTCGGTTCTCACAGCTGCGTAGCGCGTTTTCCAGGTGCCAAGGTCTTCACGACCAGTCCATGTCGTCAGCGCACAGCTATGGCGCGCAAAGACGGTAGCCTAAGTGGCCCGTCAAAGGCCAAAGTTGAAGGGTCCCCTAAGCCGAAAGGGAACCGGTGGAATCACTCAACCTGACTTCACTGAACGGAAGCGAAGCAAATTTCATAGCTATGTCATAGCTTTAAATGTCCTTTCCACATGCCCCGTGTGTGAGCTCCCAATCAGATCCATCCAGGTGGCGTCACCTAGTCCTTGCTCCTCCTCTTCAGGAGTGTCCGCAGGCAGCTGCCGGGCCCGGAGCTTCCTCGCCGCAGCGAACTTTGGGTCGTAGACCACGTTCCACCGTTGGCCTTCTTCCAAGAGCCTCGTGCGATCCTGAGCTCCAACTTTCGTCAGCCCGTCCGCGAGCTGCATGTCCGAGTCGCACCGTTCGCAATTCTGTGGCCTGAAGCTTCATGTTCTGGACCAGGGCGAGGATCTGGAGGGCCGTGTATTTCTCCTTGGAGGAGGAGAACGAAGGCATATCGCCTTGCTGGCACGAGTCGTACAGTGCCTTGGCATCTGATGAGGACGCCCCTCGTCTTCTGGGCCATCTCGCTCGGCCGCTGAAGGTTCACCTTCTAGCCCAGCATCTCCATCCACATGGTCCGACGAACGTGAGCTCTTGCTCGGCCTCTGCAAGGGCCTGCGTCTCGGCTGCCAAGCTGCTACGGCAGACGCGGCGAAGCTTCGAGCTTCCCCAGCTGACCTTTCAGTCCTTTGTCCACCATGTCCCTGTGGACCAGGCCAATCAGCATGCCGCCTGCCGAGCTCAACTCTGTTAGCGAGGGCTGCGTCCGACCATGCCACTGCCACCACGTCCTCGTCCTTCTCGGCAAAGAGGTTGAACTTGTTGATCTCCTTCAGAACTTCTCGTTCGCCCTTCGCCAGTACTGCATTTGGCTGAGTTTTGCGGCGTGGTGAGGCGCTGTCTGGTAGACTCGCCATTGCGCTGACCAGCGCAGCTCGACATTGTCGCCGCTCAGGTTCAGTGAGATCCTTGCCATGGCCATCATCCTGGACCTGGTTGAAGGACTCGCAGAACTCCTTCTGGTCCAGGATCCATCCACCATCGCTCTTTTGGGCCAGGTGTACACCGCAATGATTCATGGGCGCGCACTCCCACGAGGACCACTTCAGGCTTTCATGATGGCACCTTTCAACCACTGCTTTTGCAGCCAAGGATAGTGGGCGGTCAGTCGCCATAAGCATGGTTCGGTGGTGAGGCGCTCCATGTTCAGCTTCTTGAGCACTTCGTCCACGAAGAGGTAGAACTCGCGAGGCGCATCGTCAAGCCACAGGCCGCCTTCAAGAACTGAACTGCTTGGCCTTCCTTCAAAACCATC